AAAAAAAAAAAAAAAAAAAGAGTCCAGTGTGGTAGCATGCACCCTTGGTCCCAAGTACTTGGGAGGCTAACATGGGAGGATTACTTGAGCCTAGGAGCTCAAGACTATATAGCAAGCTATGATGGCCCCACTACATTCCAGCCTGGATGATAGAGTGAGTCCCTATCGCCAAAAAATCAAATAAAATAAAACAAAAAAAGACCATAAATTTCTTTTATGTCACCTCATAAAAGGAAAGTACATAAACCTGCAATGACCTAGTGCATGCTATATAAGTAGTTATTTCTAACGAGTTTGTTAAATATCAGAGTCAGAGTCAGATACTCCAGGCCCGTTGTTATAACCCCTTTGTATAGGTTTTTATTTTTGTGTGTGTGAATAAGTTCATATAAGTGAATAAAATATTGTGAAATAGATCAAATATTTAGAAATAGACATAAGTCCGAGCAAAACAATAATAATAACATGAAAGAATAAGGGACTTTATCTTGTTGAATCCTGTCTGGGCCACCGGTTTATTACATAAACATGATTGATCAGTCAGAAACTTCTGTTGTGATAATGAATGAAGCTATTGTCTTTGACAGTGCTATAAAAGGGGAACAATTAAAGTGTTTTGCTCATGTACTAAAGGCTGAAAAATAAACATTACCAATGGTATTCAAACCTGTAGGATCAAGCAGTGAACCTCAATATTATATTAAGAAAATTATTTTAAACAAATCTGGAAATACTGCTGCTGTGTTCCTGCTTTGCTTATCTCATTGCAGACTAAAGACTGCTCTGATAGGACTTTTATAGGATGAATTGATGGTAGAAAAATCTCAACTGCTTGGTTTGAACTTAAAATTACAAGGAAGAAAAAGGTCAAAGAATCTTGAGAGTCTCAGAGACTCAAAGAGAATGTAGGCTTGGAATGTTGGAAAGATAGAAATATTACCTTCTGCTTGTTTTATCATCCAAAATCCCAAGGGAGAAAGAATCAAGCAAAGCATCTGAATAAGACAATTTAGCTTCTCAGGGAACTCAGTTTATAAGAAAACATGCATAAACATTGTGAAAACAGCTAAAGAAATAGTAGGAGAAATTTATTTTGCTTGACTACCTTTGTTTGTTTGTTTGATTTATTGTTGAAGATTCATTGAGGGTACAAGAAACCATGTTTCACTGATTGCATTTGTTAGGTAAAGTCCCTCTTACAATCGTGCCTTGCCCACCCCCCTTTGTGTTTTCTTTTTTTTTAATTTCCTTGCTTATTTTTTATTTTTAAATAAAAATATTTTGGATTATTTGAATTATTTGGATTATTTGAATTAATTATAATTATTTGAATTATAAGGCAAAAATAATTTTATTTTGCTTTTTTTTTTTTTTTTTGAGATAGAGTCCCACTCTAAGCCCTTGAGCAGAGTGCAATGGTATCATAGCTCACTGCAACCTCAGACTAGGGCTGTGGGCATCCTGCTGCCTCAGCCTCTGGAAGCCGCTGGGATTACAGGCGCTCACTGCAGTGCTGGGCTGGGTTTTCCCTTTTTTTTTTTTTTTTTTTTTGTAGAGACAGAGTTTCACTTTATCGCCCACAGTAGAGTGCTGTGGTGTCACACAGTTCACAGCAACCTCCAACTCTTGGGCTTACACAATTCCCTTGCCTCAGCCTCTCGAGTAGCTGGGACTACAAACAAGCGCCCACCACAACACCCAGCAATTTTTTTTGTTGCACTTTGGCCAGGATTTGAACCCTCCACCCTCGGCATAAGGGGCCAGCGCCCTGCCCACTGAGCCACATGGGTTTTTCCATTTTTTTAGGAGTCAGGGTCTCATTCTCCCTCAAGCAAGCCTTGAACTCCTGAACTCAAGCGATTCTCCCTCCTCAGCCTCCCACAGGGCTGGGATTACAGGCGTGAGCCCCTGCTCCTGACTTGACTACCTTTGTTTTTTGATTTGGGAATTTATAGTTTGTTTTTGCTGAAGGAGCTGTAAGAAGCATTCTAAAAATTGCCAAAAAGCAAGATCTGAGTATGTTTGAATGAGTTGTTTCTGATTATTTCTTTCTTTTTTTTTTTTGTATTAAATCATAGCTGTGTACATTAATGCAATCATGGGGTACAATGTGCTGGTTTTATATACCATTTGAAATATTTTCAACAAACTGGTTAACATAAACCTTCACAGCATTTTCTTAGTTATTGTGTTAAGACATTTATACTCTACATTTAGTAAATTTAACATGTACCCTTATAAAATGCACCATAAGTGTGTTCCCACCAATTATCCCTCCCCCATCCTTTCCCTTCCCCTCCCCTCCCTCCCCCTCTTTTTGGGCTATAGTTGGGTTATAGCTTTCATATGAAAGCTATAAATTGGGCTCCACTGTGGCTCAAGCTGCTAAGGCGCCAGCCACATACACATGAGCTGGTGAGTTCAAATCCAGCCCTGGCCCGCCAAACAACAATGACGGCTGCAACCAAAAAGTAGCTGGGCATTGTAACAGGCACCTGTAGTCCCAGCTACTTGGGAGGTGGAGGCAGGAGAATCACTTGACCCTAGGAACTGGAGGTTGCTGTGAGCTATGATGCCATGGCACTCTACCCAGGGCCACAGCTTGAAGCTCTGTTTCAAAAAAAGAAGCTATAAATTGGTTTCATAGTAGGGCTGAGTACATTGGATTCTTTTCTTCCATTCTTGAGATACTTTGCTAAGAAGAATATGTTCCAGCTCCATCCATGTAAACATGAAAGAGGTAAAGTCTCCATCTTTTTTAAGGCTGCATAATATTTCATGGTGTACATATACCACAATTTCTTAATCCACTCAAGAGTCAGTAGACACTTGGGCTTCTTCCATGACTTAGCAATTATGAATTGGGCTTCAATAAACATTCTGGTGCAAATATCTTTGTTATAAAGTGATTTTTGGTCTTCTGGATATAAACCTAGTAGAGGAATTGAAGGATTGAATGGCAGGTCTATTTTTAGATGATGATTTCTTCATCTTGAATAGAGATTTTTCAAGCAAAGTCAAATGGTTGCAACAATGAAGGTCACTAATCTATTCAGAATATTAAAAACCATAACAGACAAAAGAGCTCAATTTTTTGTTCTATGCTAAATTCATATTCTGATTGCCTTAGTGGGCTATTTATAAGTAAAAACATAATTTCCACTAATATATATCTTGGGATAATGTATGATACCTGTTCTTTTCCTTGAAATGCATGGAGAAGGAAAAATGTGTTTTCTAGCCTGGGAGACATCCCAAAGACCCAAGCTTCACGAACTTTAATATGCATACAAATCAGCTGAGCACCTTGTTAAAAGGCACATTCTGATTCTGTAGGGTCAGAGTGGAGATTCTGCTTCCAAAAGCTCCTAGGAGATGCTACTGAAGCTGTTCCTGGGATTACAAATTTGAGTAACAGGGCTGCAGGATAATAATAGCTTTACAAGCACAAAGAATGGCCAGCAGTGGTCCCTCTGGAGGTTTATGTGCTGCTTGGCTCTCAGGTTCTGGCTATCAGGAAGCACAGGATCCCTCTCTTGTTTGCCAGTCTGGCTGGTGGGTGCATGGATGGAAAGTGAAGCGTTTCTAGGTGTCTCTCGTGTGCTTTTCCTGAGACAAGAGCAAGAGGTGCTCCTATCCTCTGTGCTATCTCCTTCGGAGAGCGTTGGCCCTTTGCTTGTAGCTTGGCTACGGTTACTCTGATACGGAAAGGAAGCAATAAGCTATGAGGGTGAAACAGTCAAAATGATACAAAAGGGCAGAAAGAGGAAATAGAAGGAGACAGGGGAAAGAACATGACTAATTTATCTGAGAGCTTGAAAGGAATATTCTTTTCTCATTCATTAATTATTCATTTCAATTTATTGTAAATAGTTTGCCGCAGCGGACGCTGTAACAAGATAGAATGACCTCACACACAGGACTCATTTGAATAACATAGCATCTGCATGGGACAGTTTGATGATGGCTAGCACCTAAAGCCAGAGTTAATCTATCCTTCTCAGGGCTTCAGCTCCTCCAGGGAAATTATAAATAAAAATAAGCTTCATCTCCAATAAAAATAAAACAAAAAACTGTCCTTCAGATCTTTCTGTTTGGTGACTTTATGAATTGGAATGGAAACATTATTGCCTTTTGGGAGGTTGACCTCAGCTGTTTTTCAGCCCTTTGAAGAATAAGAACTCCAATTCTGGTGCCAATGTTCAAAGAAAAGTTCTCTCAGGTGGATGAACACTAGCTGGTAGGTCAGCTTGTCATGGAAATTGTCCCATCTTAAAATCACCAGGAGAACCAAAGTGCATCTTTGCTTTGATTCATACTAGTTCCACTAACTTGGGCCTATAGAATGCATCGGGTATGTAAGAGGTGCTCAAAAAATGGTACTGCTGACCATATTTCCCCTCAGCTTTCTGAGAGTCAATTCCTCAGTTTCCACAAGCGTGAAAGGAAAGATGTTTATTTAACAACTTATAATGTTTTGCGAGGATTAAATGAGCTGAATACTCCTTGAACAGTACATGAAAAATTAAATAGCATGATTCATAGTTACATTATCTTCTGATTTTAAGGTATAATTAGAAGAATAGAAAGGGGTGACTGTTGGATAAGGGAAAATAACCGGATAAGTTTAATAATAAAATATAGGACCTAAGTAAAATCACCAAGGCAATTGCATAAAATGACACAGGCCGTGCATGCACAGCGTCTCCTGATGTC